AGAGGTCTAGGACAGAGAGATTAGCATTAGAAATCCCCAGTGCAGTTCAAAAATGAAAGCTAATTATGTTACAAAAATGGAAGAAGAGGGGTAATGGAAGGGGGGGGGGTGAGAGGAAAGCTGGTCAAAGTTAGTGTGGAAACGCAGAGATGAGATGAGGATTCAGCAGACCATCACACGGCCAAGGAAGGAAAAAGCAATTAATCACATTTGGGTTCGTTTGGCGCAAAATCTGGACGAGACGAATGCCAGTGGTTTTGAGTGGTACCCAGCATTCTGACTATTAATGAGTTTCTCAAACAGGGCACGATGGCCGTATTCCACTAACTGGCCGGTGAAACTTAAAGCTGACAGAAGGAAAGATTTTGTATCTCTTCATAATACAGCATACTGAAATATCAACTTCAAACATTTGCACCGCTGGTTCTGAATCTGAAATGAACTGAGGAATCGCTGAGCATAGATATGAACACATAGCTCTGTGTCAACAGATCTGCCATCTTATATTTATGGTTTATATAATGTTAGCATTCTGCAGGTCATTTAACCCAGTTTGTACAATCGTTTATACAATAGGTTTATCCCTAGAGGTCCACCCGTTATACCAATTTACTGTATAAAACAGATTATATTTGACTGTTATTCAATCTTCAAGTTAATTTATGGTTTACAACCTTATTTTATTCAAATGTTCAAGAATCAGACAGTTGCTTCAGATCATTGACTTTACCGATACGCTTCCATTTTGAACAGAACAACACACAGAACCATCTGACATTTATGACAAACCAAATCCTGTGAAAATCGGTAAGAAGGGACTGTTAGCAAAGCACGCCTGTCATCTGACATTCACTTCCTTGCAATTACAAGCGGATCTTGACCTTTCCAATATGGCAGACCTGCAGACGCATCACTGTAATTAGCGATCGCTGCTAATGTGCCACCTAGGTGTTCATATCTACGGTGCTGCTGACGCTAAACGTAATTCCTGCTATGAAAAACCTTCTATTAATAACACTGCCTTGACGTCGGAGCTGCGGTGTTTAGCAAGCTCCGGTTTGCTCCGCTATGGGTTATCAAGCCGTGGCTAATCTTATTTACTCAAATGAAGCGTGTGCGTGTTGCATGGACACGTTTGACGGACGCTGCTGCTGAAGAGAAAGAGCTCCTAACGAAGCCGACTGACAGATGTTTCATTAAGAGGCATGATTAAAGGTGAATTAACAACACGGCTTCATCATTAGCTGTCATCCAAGCAGATCTATCAAGCAGTCAGAGGTGCTCATTAAACAAGGAGAGCCGAAGGTTTCTCGGCTGCGCTGTGGTTTGAGTCGAGTAAAGCTCTCGGATTCTGTCGTCTTTTGCTTGAAGGATCTCCAGAACTTTCCTGTCCTTGTTCTCAGCTTTCTGCTTTTCTCTAGTACAACAAAAGAGCAAAATTAAAGGCAGTGACAGCATACAGAAGCGATCGGCCGGCCTCAGCCATTCACACTGGAAAATCTATCTGGGATGACGCAACGGTGATGCTCGGTTAGGAGATAAAACACTGCAGGATAGACTGGATGCTGTGGGAGAAGAAACATGCATTTAAAGCACTCAGAGCGCTCTCTGAGCTTATACCGCAGAGGGTCAACAGGGAATGATGGAATATAACTCCAGTCTCCAGGTATCAGTAATTATCAGGATATCAAACCAGGAACACTACTCACTGGGGAACACAAACACTCCTTTCCTTTCAGCATCTAACCCTCTTTAGCGGGCGTTTGGGGGGGAAAGACAAAAGAATCACAATTGGGGCAAGTTTGTTTGAACAGCTGCCACTCACCTGGGATCCTCCTTTCCCTGGTTCACTTTTTCAATCTCCTCCACCCTTTCTCTCCCCGAGGACATCTGACATGATACGGCTGTCCTCAGAGAGCGCCGCTGCCTTGAAGCTCGCTGATGTTAACCGTATCCCAAGCCAAGCGTTCGCTCGCTACCAGACCGGCCAGAATTCCCAGAAGCCTGTGCGCTTCTCAGAGCCAGAGCAATTATCATGTCAATGTCCCGGGTGGCGCGGAGCTGATGTATGCACAGGCCCTCAGGTGAGCGATGCCAGTTCTTTGAGGAGCAGCTCGGTTTGTTGGCGAAGAGGTTTGTGAGGGATACGGAGAGAGCATAGCCTGCCTGCGCTTTTAGAATCGAGGAACACTTTCGCGCAAGCAACAACTTTCTCCACATCTCTGACCTTTCATCAGGTGGTGGAAAGAACCATTTCATATTCGCCCGAATAAATACACAACCGTTACACCAAGCCACGCCACTGGCCTCAATTTCCCCCCATGTGCGGAATACTGCTTTATCTGCACCTCTTATCATCATCATCATAACTTCTGAAAGACGGCATGACAATGGCATTGCTGATTTGAACTCTTTCTCGCGTTCCCATGCCACTTTTGCAGCTCCCCACACTCTCTTCGAGGGTCATAAGTCATGTTAAATCTAGTGTATATCCCTCAAAGAGGCGTTTAGATGAGGAGAGAGGGAGGATAAGAGGGTTTAGATCATCATCTGCTCTCAGGTTCTCTCATAACTGCGTTCGACACACACACCCCTGCAGAACACCGCTGCCCAAGTGCTCGCAAATCAGGGATTTCACGTGTCAGAAGCAGCATTTATTTCAAGTCTGAGACGCAAAAGCATAATGATTCAGTAGAAGAAAGGGCCACCTGAACCACATGAACTCCTCATCTGTAGAAGCCAACACAACAACAACATTATTAAAAGCAGCTTCCGAATGAGCAATTTCCAGTCATTACTTTGCATTTATATTCTCATATGTGAGCCTGCAGCACAAAAGCAGTGTTAAGTCGCTGGGGGATATTTGTAGCAATAGCCAACAATACATTGTATGGGTCACAATTATAGATTTCTCTTTTATGCCAAAAATCATTAGGATGTTAATTAAAGATATTCTGTACATTTCCTACCGTAAATATATCAAAACTTAATGTTTGATTAGTAATATGCATTGCTAAGAACTTCATTTGAACAACTTTAAAGATGATTTTCTCAATATTTAGATTTTTTTTGCACCCTCAGATTCCAGATTTTCAAATATTGTCCTATCCTAACAAACCATACATCAATGGAGAGCTTATTTATAAAAAAATAATAAAAAATAATAATACATTTTTATGAATAAAAAAACCCAAAAAAATTAATTATGACTTTTTATCTTACAAACCTGACATTTTTTTCTCGCAATTCTGAGATTGTGAGATAAAAAGTCATAATTACGTTTTTTGTTTTTTTATTCAGCAGCAGAAATTTGCTTCCATACGGCATCTGATTTTTGCAGATTTTTTTTTTGTTGGTCTAATCTATTAAGCCCATTAAGTAGTTTGACATTAGTTTTCAATTTTTAGATAGACAGAAACTGATTAACAATGGCTTATTAATATTTTAAAACCTCTGCCAAACATCATGTGATCTAATCAATGGGGAAATGATGAGTAAATGATATCATAGAGTGGACCGATACTGAAATCAAACAAAACGCATGAAACATTTCTGCTCTAACAAATGAACCAAAAAGAAATTAAATCAGAGTAATCCTATTCATAGAAGAACGACTGAAGAGTAAATCTGAACTCACTCGCTGGCTGAAGAAGAAAGTGGCGTCAGAGAGACGCAAGACACGCTTACAATTCAGTGTCTCCGGGAAAAAAAGCTCTCAAAGATTCTTAAGCTACATTACATTTAATGAGAGACATCTAAAAACTACATTTTCTGACATTAATAAAAAAAAAACAGAATTATACCAGATCAACTTAATATAAAATTATCTGTTAAATTATGTCCACATCATTATAAGATTAAAGTCATAAATCCCTGCAGAATCTGCTGGTGTCCAATTAGTACATGAATTTTAAACCCTATTCAAAAGTGTCTAATTAATTATTTACTAAATGGTGCAGGCAGACCTTGATAGACCATGGGCTAAACATACAAAGTAGCGTGTGCACGAGAGAGAGAGAGAGAGGCTGTGCAAATGAAAAGAAATAGAGATCTCACAATTCCTAGTCTTCATTGTGTTTAATGACAAATTAAGAAGAGTCCTCCATCAAACAGGTGGTCTCTTCACAAGTGCTTAAGCTCACGACATCAGAAGATTGAGCAGCTCCCGCACATTACAGGGATTTTCTCGTGGAATGGAAGGTGTTTGATATGTTGAAAGGCAGTCGTATTGATGAATTATTTATCTCATACAGCAGACCGTGAATGCCCACTGGATGAGCGCACTCATTGAATGGTGCTATTTATACAAATATTAATAAAGTAAAACTGCCTGCCTGATAATTCTCAGGTCCACTAGAAACATTTTGCAGTTAATGGCAGTCGATGGACAGGCACTGCGCCTTTTACATAAATGATACGTGATGCTTTATAAATACATGCTTGTCAATAGAAGTGAAATGGAGAAAAATCAATTGTGAACCGCAGGCGAGAACAGCTCGACAGAGTCCGCCGACGATGATGATGCAGGTCAGAGCAAGGCTTTGACTGCTGTACAGCGAGTAACTGAGGGCTCTTCTTAATTAGCAGTTACCAAGATCGGTGTTTAGATGTCTGTAAGGAAGCTATGAGCTCAGAAATGATGATATATTAGTAATATGGGTTGCTTCGTCTATAATGATTACACGTTTGAGATGCTGTTGACAATGCAGGTGTTTGTTTTTAGGCACCACCTGCTGGGGATTTAACAATGTGCAGGAGGATTAAGTCACGTGAGTTTCCTGCTAGCATTGCAACTGTAGGGGGAAAAAATAAATAATAATAATATATATATTAAAATAAATATATATATTCTAAGGAAGAACTTAATATGGGCTTCTGATATGATCTTAGAATATTAGATTATTTTACACATAGTTTAGGACCATCATCCCTATTGCCAGAGACAGAGAAAACAGACAAAAGATTTATTTGACCAAATAAATAAGTGTACTATACTGTACCTGACACTGAGCCAGCTCCTCAGACAAACTCCTCAGCTCCTCCTTGAGGAATAAAACACCTTCACTGTCTTTCCAGTCCACTGAGATCCTGACAGAAAATATTTCATTTATATCATTGTCTGGATAGATAGATAGATAGATAGATAGATAGATAGATAGATAGATAGATAGATAGATAGATAGATAGATAGATGGATAGACAGACAGACAGACAGACAGACAGACAGACAGACAGACAGACAGACAGATAGACAGACAGACAGATAGACTGATAGACAGACAGACAGACAGACAGACAGACAGACAGACAGACAGATAGATAGAAAGATAGACAGATAGACTGATAGATAGACAGATAGACAGATAGACACTGATAGATAGATAGATAGATAGACAGACAGACAGATAGACAGACAGACAGACAGACTGATAGACAGACAGATAGACTGATATATAGACAGACAGACAGACAGACAGACACTGATAGATATATAGATAGATAGACAGATAGACTGATAGATAGACAGATAGATAGATAGATAGATAGATAGATAGATAGATAGACAGATAGATAGACAGACAGACTGATAGATAGACAGATAGACAGACAGATAGACAGACAGACTGACAGACAGACAGACAGACAGATAGATAGATAGATAGATAGATAGATAGATAGACAGACAGACAGACAGACAGAGACAGACAGATAGATAGACAGACAGACAGACAGACAGATAGATAGACAGATAGACTGATAGATAGACAGATAGACTGATAGACACTGATAGATATATAGATACACAGACTGATAGATAGATAGATAGATAGATAGATAGATAGATAGATA